TGACGCGGCTAGAACTGGTTATAACTGACTCCCAACTCACGCTGACTCCCATTCACCAAGTGCCAAACGTGACTCCAACCCAAAGTTGTGACTCTGCAATGATCAACGACAGCGGTGACTCAAATTTGTTACGTCACAGACAAGTTACATTAGTGGACTCGACAATGCCAGCAATAGCACCGGCTTTGTTTATTTAAGGAGCGACAACTCTCTATGTTTATTCTACCGGCTGTGTCAACAGATCTAATAATCAGACACGTTTCAATTTTTAATTAATTTACTCCTAAAAACCCGACGTCAAAAAATAACTTCTATTTTGAGAATTGTTCAGGAAATTATCACAAAAAATTGGGTTGATCAGGCTAATATTTTGTCAGGGTTAGAACCAGCTAATATGTTATTTATTATTCTCTTTCGTAACGACGATTCGTTTTTGAAAGAAAAACAACATTATGATCTCCCTTGAATTTTTCTTTAATTAACCGATACATATTTGTATAGATTTGTTCGTTGTTATGTACACAAACTGTACAAACATCTGACGGATGCAGTTGTTATACCTATTGATGACGTCATTATGCAAATTTGACTTTCCACCAATCACGTGACACTTCCAGAATCCCGATCAATCGATTGGTTGGCTTTTTATATGCCGGGTTTTATTTCCTCGCGTTCGAATGTGCAACTAAGACACACGCGTTGTATTTCAACGTACCACTTCACACACGCTAATTAAATATAGGACCCACACATACCCACCCCCCACCACACACACATACCCACACCCGCCCTCACACACAACCCCGTCTAAAACACAAGCCCGATTGTCTGCCAGTTAGGTCTCACACGCAATCCTATTGTTAAACTGAAAGTGATCTGACCCCCCCCCCCTCCCGATCTACAGGGGTCTTTAAACCCCCCCCCCTCCCTGCATCCATACAGCTTGCCGGCTTGAACTTCAGTTTTTTTTTCATCTAAATCTGGCCAGATTTCTTAGCCTTCTGTTCGCCATTCGTCTCACTGGTTTCCCAATGCCAGGTTTTTCTAAATTAAAAAAAAAATGGCCGCGCCATCTTTTCCTGGCCAGGTTCGCGTGCCGGCGAAATAATGGCCGCTGACCGCTTGTCACCTAGAACAGACCCGTTGGACACCAATCTATCCGCGCGCCAGCCCACACGCCAACCGTCGTGCGGAACTTATTGTCGTCTGCTAATTGTCTTTGATATTTACATCCCGCCCACCGGGTCTGGTCTCCACGTCTGCTACTAATTATTATTTATCTCAGCCACGTCCGATGACGTCATGCACCAGACAACAACACGATTCTGTCATAGAGCAGAACATTTATGATGACGTCACGGAACAGACCCTCATACCATGACGTCATGAAGCAGACTACGATGACGTCACTGAGTAAACCACACCGTGTGACGTCATAAGGTATTAGAAAGATTCACTTCCCCTGCATAAAACAAGTGAGGACAGAATACATTGGCCAGTCAGTATAGGACAGTCCTGTGACAGGACTCCTGTCCGAATATTTGATTGATTCCAGCGAGACAGGCGTCAATCGTCTAGACATAACGCGGTGAGGGGGGGGGGACGTTTGCAAGTTATGTTTAATCAATACCAGGTTATCTATGCAGGGAGATGATGGTACCGCTAGTGGCGACAGGGTGGTTCGGGTTTAGTGGTGCATCGGGACCTGACAGTTGGTGCTGGGCGGTGGACACAGTTGACCAGAGGACACAGTTGACCAGTGGACAGTTGACCAGTGGACAGTTGAGCAGTGGACACAGTTGACCAGAGGACACAGTTGAACAGAGGACACAGTTGACGAGTGGACAGTTGACCAGTGGACAGTTGAGCAGTGGACACTTGACCAGTGGGGACAGTTCACCAGTGGACAGTTGACCAGAGGACACAGTTGACCAGTGGACACAGTTGACCAGAGGACACAGTTGAACAGAGGACACAGTTGACGAGTGGACAGTTGACGAGTGGACAGTTGACCAGTGGACAGTTGAGCAGTGGACACTTGACCAGTGGGGACAGTTCACCAGTGGACAGTTGACCAGAGGACACAGTTGACCAGTGGACACAATTGACCAGAGGACACAGTTGACTAGTCGGCTCCTGATACAAGAGCTAACCAGGCCAGTCAAAGTACTGTCCAGGACAGTCAAATTACTCTCCAGGCCAGTCAAAGTACTGTACAGGCCAGTCAAAGTACTGTCCAGGCCAGTCAAAGTACTGTCCAGGCCAGTCAAAGTACTGTCCAAGCCAGTCGAAGTACTGTCCAAGCCAGTCGAAGTACTGTCCAAGCCAGTCAAAGTACTGTCCAGGCCCCCCAACAACGGCCTGGCCTAATGTTGGTATCAATGTGAATGACGAGGTGCTTGACTCCTGTGGGAGAGGGTGGGGGTGGGGGGGATATCGATTGTTAACTTATCTAATTACCGGCCCGCCAATTTGGGCCGGCTCTACCCCCTGTGCAAAAACTTGGGGGCCATTCGCCACATGCACAACAGCCGATTGGTTGATTACTCAGGGCCCTTAACTCCCCGGCTAACTTCTTTTTTTTTTGTTTCTTCCCTTTTCTTTGTCGTGCCATTGTTGCCGACCTTCTTGAGACCCTACCCTTTTTACAAAGATAGAGATCGTTGACTGGGAGTTTGTTGTGGAGGATTGTTATGACTTGTTTTTGTTTTGGGATAATCCTGGGATAATCATGGAATTATCCTTGTAACGCCTTGGTATGGGCTTAGTATTGTTTTACTGTTTTGGTAATCTCTATTCTAAAAGACCATGTTTTCTTTTTTTTTTTTTTATTATTATTATTTTGTAGAACATCTTTACAGTAAGTTAGACTAGAAGAAAATAGACTGTGAAAGAAGTGAATAACATTTATTCCGATGAAAATAAGCTACGGCCAGTTTGACTAGTATTAGATTCGGTAATTTTTTTTTCTCTAAGACGGCTTGGCCAGCTAGCGATTAGGGCCAGGCGAGCAGGGGTTGATGCATCCTGATTGATTATAAATCGATGGCTAGGTGACAGCTGTGTGGTTGTTCCACTGCGCCTCCGCTGGCTGATTTTTAATTAGAGGCCTTAGAAAAAAATCATTACCCTAAGGCTTGTGGTGGGGGGGGGGGGGGTCAGAAGAATGGGATACTAAAACGTAAATATAGCAAGTAAGTATTGTGTTGAGTTAAGCGGTTATAAAAATAAGACGTTTAGGAAACATAAATATTGCGCTTTTCAAGATTTAGTCTATGGATCATATTTTGAAAGGGGCAAAAGGTTTAGGGCTAATCTCATAGACACTAAGCAGATTAGCAGACAATAGAAGATATGGTAAATAAAAGGTATTAGGACTATCCATAAACAGTGCAGTTATTTCTCCACTAGGTTAAGCTGACACCCATGCCCCACTGGACTAACGTAAGAAAAAGACTGTAAGACCCCCACAAGACAAACGTCAGAAAAAGACTGTAAGACCCCCACTAGACCAACGTTAGAAAAAAAGACTGTAAGACCCGGTGTTTGACTTATGGCCCATCCAGCGGCTTATCCCCCTAGCACATCTGCCGCGGGTAGGAAATAAACAAAGTCTATCTAAGAGCCTGATGAAGCGCGCGCTGGGATGTTAGTCATTTCATGCAATAACAAACCAATCAGAATGTCTGGTCAGGACAACGGGAGGGGGGGGGTGATCAATAACTCCATCTTATCTAGGGCGTAAGTCTTCTGCAACACGTGCACATAATGTGAGCACATACACGGTGGGCGCAGGGAATTTATATCAGCTCAAGTCAATCGTCCTTTCTAGACGCACCCGAATTCTTTCTTACTGAATTTTATGGCCCCTATCGGCTATTGACTGGTAGTGTTGTCATCGAGCTTTGGCTTTAGACCTAAGACGATGGCAGTTGTGAGGATGGACTGCATCGTAAATCATTGAGGTATTGTATCCCGGGTTGTCACAGCAGGGGTTGTCACCTATCTATTGACCTGTTAGCTTGGGTTGTCACATATGGGTGGAATTTAAGCGCGGGTTGTCCGATATCTAGGACTGACCACTTTGGGTAGGTTGTCAGTTTAAAAATTCGTACAAAGTTGTTTTTTTTTCTAAAACTTTAAAGCAAAGATGACAAGAAAATGAGTTACAATAATTAAAATATGAATACTCGATTCGTAAATACCAAAAACAAAAAAAACAAAAACTTTTCCAACAAAAATATGCTAAGTTATCGGCCCTTCCAAATGTATGTCATGCTTTCAAATATTAACTAATTATTTCATTATTTACGAAACCTAAAATTTGAATACGTAAACGAACATACTTTCTAACCATATCCATTCTAGCGCATTATACCCTCATACATAAAAATAATACATTGGACGAGAATATTTGGGATGAAAACAAACGTGTTTCGTGGCCATCCGAGAAACAAACCATCGGGACAGTTGTTTACACCGGAAGTGTATCACGTTTAGCAAAATGGCGGCCTGTCAGCGCGGGGCTGGAGCCTGCATGTGATAGATCAGGGGCATCATGGGGTCAGGGGTCAGGGGCCGTGGAGGATAATGGCGGCTGGTGGCAAGATGAATTGAGTGCCCCTATCTGGGGGTGCCGGCCTTAGTTAGTCTCTAATTAGCGGCATAAGTACACCCCACCCTCGCCTCCCCTAGACATTAACTGTGTGCACATTTTTCAAACACAGACATATTATATATATATATATATATATATATATATATATATATATATATATATATATATATATATATATATATATAGTGGAATAAGAAAGGTAGAGGTTTGGGATTAGCTAATGAGTATAAAATGATAAAATGAAAGAGTAACTAATTTAACGGTGTCAAAAATAGGGATTCAAAAGAAGGGAAGTAACTTCTATAATTATGACTACAAATGGTGACATGGGAAGTAACTTCTATAGTTTTGAGCACAAATGGTGACATGGGAAATAACTTACTTGATGATCGCGGCTGTTCTCCGAGTTCTGGTCAATGGCATCTAGTGATGTTGTCGTCGATGTTTTCGATGGTGCTGATGTGGGTGTGGCCGAAGAGCCCGCCCCCTCCCTGTCGTCTATGACAAGGTCAATGGGCATCTTGCCCTTGAGGCAGGAGATGTATCTGTGGCAGAAGTTGTCACAGAGCTCGTGGACCTGCAGATATCAAACAGATCAATCGTTATCGATCTGCTCGGGCAGTCGATCACAACAGTTTGTTCGGCTTTCGGCTTGTTTTAAATTTCTCTTCACGATCGATGTTAGGGCAATGGCTAGGGTTAAATTTAAACTTAGGACCAGGGTTAGTAACGCACAAAAAAAAAAAAAATCAGCGTTGTGTATAGCCAGATGCCGTTTTAATAAGTACAGAATACATTAGCCTAAACCGCTCACACATAACCGACATTTTTAGATCGATCACACGTAATTACCCGAAACTAATATTTTAAAATATTAACGTTCTTTTTTTTATTGTATTGTATTGTAAGCGTCGTGTGAGTATTGAATAACTTTAGACCTAACCATAATGTAATGTAAACGTGTGGTTATAGGCTAACTTTAAACCTAACCATAATGTAATGTAAACGTGTGGTTATAGGCTAATTTTAGACCTAACCATAATGTAATGTAAACGTCGTGTGGTTATAGGCTAACTTTAGACCTAACCATAATGTAATGTAAACTTGTGGTTATAGGCTAACTTTAGACCTAACCATAATGTAATGTAAACGTGTTGTTATAGGCTAACTTTAGACCTAACCATAATGTAATGTAAACGTCGTGTGGTTATAGGCTAACTTTAGACCTAACCAGTACAAGAACTGGAACTTATATCTAAAATTAGAAACAAGTTTGTAAATAAATAGAGCTGTGATTAATATTGGAAAGATATTTCGGACAGCGAAATGTTAATATAAGCAGTAAGTTGGAACTTAGGTGCCTTGTACTGGGCCGTGTGTTCTGTTGATGATTAATGCTTAAAAAAACAATAATGTTTTCATTGTACGCATGCTCGATTCAAATTGTCATTTCGATGTGCGGAATTATTTTTACAAAGCACATTTTAATCGACATTTAAACCAATATTATTTATTAAAATAGATATTTAAAAATTCTATTTGTGGCGTGTCAATAAATATACGACTGTGACAGACGCCATTGTGGGGGGACCGGTGCCCTAATACCTGGAGATTTAGCGCCCACTGCGGCGCATATGCTCCGTGCAGTAGGGTGTGATTAGATTTGCTTTCATTATATTTGTTTATAATTAACAGCGGTGAAAAACTATTGTGCAGTTCAAGGGGTGGGGTAGAGGTGAAGCTTATCATTTCTGTTCAATTCAACAGAGAATTTTTTTTCTTCAATCTTTGGTTTGTGAATGTGAGGGTACACTCGGCTTGTGGTTGACACAATGAATGGATTTGTGGCCGTGTGGTTGTGGGGTGTGGGTTGATCCCCCGTCTTACTGACGTGTGTTACCCCATTGTGTGGCTAATTCTTGCAGGGGATCTTGCAGTGTTTTTTTTTCAGGCTGTACCTTCAATATGTTCAGTAAGAAGACAGTAAGCCTCGCTATAGGCTCGGCTCTAGCCCTGGACGATTTGATAGCAAAGTTTTAATGCTGTAGGCTATAGCCAACATAAGTATTTATTTATTACACCAGTAGTCGTACGGAATGTTATTTAGTTTGCAATGTGTTAAAAAAAAATTAGACTTTTTTTCTTGTATTTCCTGCTTTGCTGTACTAGTTTTTAATGTAGAAAAACATTTTCAAAACTTTACAAATGTGTAGTCTGGTGTCGACACAAACATTGACCGGGTGTGAAATCTGGAAATATGGTGGTAGGTCTAATCCGTCGGTTATGTTGTATGTAACATTATGGATTTCTCAGTTGGCCAAAAATGACAAGTTGTATGTAACATTATGGATTCATCAGTTGGCCAAATGGCAAGTTGTATGTAACATTATGGATTCATCAGTTGGCCAAAATGACAAGTTGTATGTAACATCATGGATTCTTCAGTTGGCCAAAATGACAAGTTGTATGTAACATCATGGATTCTTCAGTTGGCCAAAATGACAAGTTGTATGTAACATCATGGATTCCTGAGTTGGCCAAAATTACAAGTTGTATGTAACATCATGGATTCTTCAGTTGGCCAAAATGACAAGTTGTATGTAACATCATGGATTCTTCAGTTGGCCAAAATGACAAGATGTATGTAACATCATGGATTCATCAGTTGGCCAAAATGACAAGTTGTATGTAACATCATGGATTCATCAGTTGGCCAAAATGACAAGTTGTATGTAACATCATGGATTCATCAGTTGGCCAAAATGACAAGTTGTATGTAACATCATGGATTCATCAGTTGGCCAAAATGACAAGTTGTATGTAACATCATGGATTCATCAGTTGGCCAAAATGACAAGTTGTATGTAACATCATGGATTCCTCAGTTGGCAAAAATGACAAGTTGTATGTAACATCATGGATTCCTGAGTTGGCCAAAATGGCAAGTTGTATGTAACATCATGGATTCCTGAGTTGGCCAAAATTACAAGTTGGATGTAACATCATGGATTCCTCAATCGGCCAAAATGACAAGTTGTATGTAACAACATGGATTTCTCAGTTGGCCAAATGGCAAGTTGTATGTAACATCATGGATTCTTCAGTTGGCCAAAATGACAAGTTGTATGTAACATCATGGATTCCTCAGTTGGCCAAATGGCAAGTTGTATGTAACATCATGGATTTCTCAGTTGGCCAAATGGCAAGTTGTATGTAACATCATGGATTCATCAGTTGGCCAAAATGACAAGTTGTATGTAACATCATGGATTCATCAGTTGGCCAAAATGACAAGTTGTATGTAACATCATGGATTCCTCAGTTGGCAAAAATGACAAGTTGTATGTAACATCATGGATTCCTGAGTTGGCCAAAATGGCAAGTTGTATGTAACATCATGGATTCCTGAGTTGGCCAAAATTACAAGTTGGATGTAACATCATGGATTCCTCAATCGGCCAAAATGACAAGTTGTATGTAACAACATGGATTTCTCAGTTGGCCAAATGGCAAGTTGTATGTAACATCATGGATTCTTCAGTTGGCCAAAATGACAAGTTGTATGTAACATCATGGATTCCTCAGTTGGCCAAATGGCAAGTTGTATGTAACATCATGGATTTCTCAGTTGGCCAAATGGCAAGTTGTATGTAACATCATGGATTCTTCAGTTGTACAAATGACAAGTTGTATGTAACATGGATTCCTCGGTTGGCCATAATGGCGTTACTGGTGCTCAAATTATTTCTCTGTAATGGGAAAACCCGAACTAGGAACTACCAACACAGGCGGTGATATCAGAAAAGTGTGTGTGTGTGAGGGGGTGTGTGTGTGGGGGTCAGTGAAACGGGCCAGGTCTTGTGACAACATGGTTATCAAGCGGTTCATTTGCTCAGATCTCCACATTCCCTGGTTGCCGGGTGCTGGGGGGGGGGGAGGGGGGGCGGCTCGTGAGAACACCAGTGGGTGACGTGGATGTGGTTGTATGTGTGTATGCATGTGTGTAGTCGCGTGTGTATACTATATAGTTATATTCGCGTGCATCTGTGCTATTGTATGGGTGTGCTTGTGTGAGTGTAATGTAAGTAGTTACATATGCATGTGTCTAGTTATTTACATGTTATTTGTATATATGTATGTAAAGTTATATGTGTGTATGTGCCATCTTTCATATGCTAAAAAAACATTGCTTTACTATCGTATGCCCACATTTATTTATAGTATCAAAATATTTGTAATGACCTACACACTAAATTATCTACATATTTAACCTAGACCTGCATAATGTACCTGCGTATAATGTTTACTAATATTAAATTAGGCCCAACAATAATTACTTGATTTGTTGTATTAATTTGAGAACATATGGCGCAGAACGCGATATTTGTGAAGTCAAATTCTTCATGACTTATATCGTCAGTATTTTCGAAGTGAAAATTGTTTACAATTAACTTGACATTGTCAAGGCTAGGACTTTAGAACAGTGTCCCTAACTTGTGACATTAGAACAGTGCCACTAACTTGTGACATTAGAACAGTGCCACTAACTTGTGACAATAGAACAGTGCCACTTACTTGTGACATTAGAACAGTGCCACTAACTTGTGACAATAGAACAGTGCCACTAACTTGTGACATTAGAAAAGTGCCACTAACTTGTGACAATAGAACAGTGCCACTAACTTGTGACATTAGAAAAGTGCCACTAACTTGTGACATTAGAACAGTGCCACTAACTTGTGACAATAGAACAGTGCCACTAACTTGTGACATTAGAAAAGTGCCACTAACTTGTGACATTAGAACAGTGCCACTAACTTGTGACATTAGAACAGTGCCACTAACTTGTGACATTAAAACCAGCCTTTATAACGTCAGGACACACATTTCCTACATAGGTGGACTCCTGGCTGTGACAATGTAGGCCTACGTGAACGTGTGTTCCGATCACTTCTTATCTGCAATGCCCTATTTTAATTGTTGAAATTCACAGACATTTTTCTAGACCGCATGTGTGTGTGTGTGGGGGGGGGGGGGGGGGGTCAACCAATCAATACGATATCAGCCATGTTATCACTAGGAATTTTTTTTTAGAATGGATAAATTGAGAATTGATTTGATCCACCAATTTTTACCTGCACATCTCAATAACAAGCAAGTGTGGTAGGTCAGATAAAAGAGGTAGGTGAGGTAGATGGTGAAAGTAAGGTAGATGGTGAAAGTAAGGTAGATGGTGAAAGTGAGGTAGATGGTGAAAATGAGGTAGGTGAGATAAGTGAGGTAAGTGAGGTAGGACTTACCTTTTCCAACTCGAGCAGGTGAAACCGTAGAACTTGGATAGCTTGTATCATCTGAAGACAGAAATCATTCAAGTCAGTCTAATGGGAACTAGGGAACTATTCATTCAATCGTCAGTCTAATGGGAACTAGGGAACTATTATTTTAATAGAACAAATAAGTTAAGGAATTATTAAATCAATCAAACAAATAAGTTAAGGAATTAGTAATTCAATCAAACAAATAAGTTAAGGAATTAGTAATTCAATCAAACAAATAAGTTAAGGAATTAGTAATTCAATCAAACAAATAAGTTAAGGAATTAGTAATTCAATCAAACAAATAAGTTAAGGAATTAGTAATTCAATCAAACAAATAAGTTAAGGAATTAGTAATTCAATCAAACAAATAAGTTAAGGAATTAGCAATTCAATCAAACAAATAAGTTAAGGAATTATTAATTCAATCAAATTAATAAGTTAAGGAATTAGTAATTCAATCAAACAAATAAGTTAAGGAGTTAGTAATTCAATAAAACAAATAAGTTAAGGAATTAGTAATTCAATAAAACAAATAAGTTATAAAATTATGAATTCAATAAAACAAGTTATAAGAATTGACTTTTAGATGGAGCAAACAAGACTAAACTTAACAGAATACTATGAATGATTTTGCTACCCTAACTATTCTTGGAGTAACGGTTATGGGTTAGGAGGTGGAGGGGGGGGGGGGGGAGAATCAAGAATCTGTTGCTTAACAAAGATCTATGTACTTAAGAGCCACAATTTTAGGATATAGAAATTTATTTTTTTGTTAACTTAGGACATTGATACGAATGACTGTTTTACATTGAAACTATATTTACATCAGTGTTTAATTAACTCTTTTATTCAATGAACTTTTAAAAGCTTTGAATTATAAATATAAAATAACATGTGTTCATATGTAAATCGGTGTTTAATAAATTCTTTTATTCAATGAAATTGTACAAGTTTTTAATTATAAATATCAGACAACATGTGTTCACATATAAACATAGAGTTAATGTGATACCGACATAACCACGTGACAAGGGGATGTTGTGGCTAGTCCAGCAAGGCTGGAGCAGAATGTTATTTTTTGGGCCCGTGTTTGGTTTAGCCGGTCTAGTGCCGTCACAGAATAACAGCATGGTACGCCATCTCGGTAATGGCGGCGGGAACTAGGGAAAACAATGGCCAAGGGAGGTCAGTCAACTACTGCAGTGACGTACTACATTCATCAGCCGAGGACGCCAAGTTACTCGGCTAGTCTACCGTGTACTCCGGGCTTAGTTAAGGAATTAAATATTTTCTCATAGAGAAAAAGGTTTAAAGGAATCCTCACAGGAACTACTGTATTAGTTTATCGGTTTTGTGTGCTTATTTCTATTTTTAAAATGCTGTTCAGCCGGTAATTATATATATATGTATATATATATATATATATATATATATATATATATATATATATATATATATATATATATATATATATATATATATATATATATATATATATATCCTTGTCCGCATAGCCGCCAATCACTCTACCATCTGATAGACTAGATCGATATTTGTTCCAATCGATCAGTTGAAATTATTTTCTTCAATCCTTTCAGCGAGACGCGATCCAGTAAATTTCATAAAAGTTTTTTCAACATTTTTAACCCGTTAAAAAAATATCTGATCCGGCCGGCTATAGGCAGGAGGGGAAAAATAATTTGAAAAAATTAATTAATTTTGTTTTGAACTTTTTACTTTTGAATAGAATTTTTTCACGTTGTGGAACGGGTTGAAGAAGAAATATTTTGTCAAGCAGCGTCTAGACAGATTTTTATTGAAAGAATTTTTTTGTTGTTGCGTTTATTACACGCTACAAAACTTACAATCGGTTAGTAATTAAAGAAAAATATTAAATTTAAAAACCTGGAAAATTAATGAGCTTAGAAATTAAAAAAGGTGGTGTGTAGAAATATATACAATAATGTGTAAAGTTTTATATAAATGTGTGTTTGTAATTTATATTATTAAGAAATAAATTTACTTTTTATATCATTTAATTAGTTCTTGAGTTACAAATTAGCTTGAAGTAGAACGAAATTCTATAGGTAACACCCCGCTTACATTACGCCAATAGTAGTTTGATCCTTACATATTACACCCATTACATCTAGCTCTCAAACAAGGATGAAATCATACCGGAAGTCGTCATTAGAGCTTTAAGTCAGGAGAACCGATGTTTAAAACTCATTAGCCCGTTTGTCTTATCAATTAAATCTTTTATCTTTGGCTGACCACTGAGCTGGAACTGGAATCAAAAGCCAGGAGGGCGGTCACCTCCTGTGTTTACGCGGTCGGACTCACCCGGCCAGTGGTCAGTTGCCCAGTCAGGCCAGTGGTCAGTTGCCGGTGCGGCCAGTGGTCAGTTGCCGGTGCGGCCAGTTGCCCTGTGTGGTCATGACTAACGTAAGAGCCGCGAGTCATAACACATGTGTGTCATGCCACGGGTCAGGCTGTGGTCAAGTAATTAGTGGGCCGGCTGCACACAGCAGGTGCAGGCTCCAAGGTCAAGGGTGCCAGATTTTTCTCGCTGCTGCCAGAGATAAAATCTTCCCCGACATAATCTATTCACAGCAGCATCCTACCCAACGTATTCTGCCAAACTTATCCTACAGACTTATCCTACAGACTTATCCTACCCAACGTATTCTGCCAAATTTATCCTACCAAACTTATCCTACCAAACTTATCCTACCAAACTTATCCTACCAAACTTATCCTACCAAACTTATCCTACGAAACTTATCCTACCAAACTTATCCTACAGACTTATCCTACCCAACGTATTCTGCCAAATTTATCCTACCAAACTTATCCTACCAAACCTATCCTACCAAACGTATCCTACCAAATTTATCTCATAATCTTTTAGTCAACCTTCGCCTACCAACTATATCCTAGACATATTAGCCTACCAACCCTAACCAATTAGCATAAAATAGCGCACTTCAGCGCATTGACCCTAGCCTGCTGTACCTTAACTCCTGAACACTAAACATACCTAGCCTAGGCTTCCAATAAATTATAACCAAGATTTAAACATCCTGCTATACACTGAATTATAATCGCAATCTAACTATACACCTACACCTAGTCGTACATTTAATTTGAATCGATTTCTGACTAAACCACTCATATACCTAGGCATAGATTTAATTGAAATCGATTACCGACATGAAAACCAATTACTTGGCGATGAGCTGATACCGCCAAGTCTAGTATGTTGATTACATCATAATGACCAGTGTGAGAAAGACTTGTTCCACAAAACTTGGTCATTATTTGGTCAGCCAAACGATCCAAGATGGTAGCCTGGGTCTAATGGCGGGACCCAGCAGGCGACTTCCGGGGTCAACAGACGACTGTGGTGAGCAGTACAGACGCCAACATTCCCCGCGGCCGCTGATGCCAGGATGTATGACGTCACTCTGACAATAATTTATCACTTTGCATGGACGTGCTGTGCGAGGTGACGTCACGATACAGGCAGTTCTTTGGTGCCTTATCTCCGATCATCACCCCGGGGGTGCCGGGCCATGGCCCCTGGTCAAGGTCTAGAAACAAGGTCCTACTTATCCCTGACCAACTCCACACAAGTGAATCCTGAATCAATGCTGGCACCTTTACGCTAAATCCTGAATCAGCCTCAATGCTAGCACCCTTACGCTAAATCCTAAATCAGCTTCAATGCTAGCACCCTTACGCTAAATCCTAAATCAGCTTCAATGCTAGCACCCTTACGCTAAATCATAAATCAGCTTCAATGCTAGCACCCTTACGCTAAATCCTAAATCAGCTTCAATGCTAGCATCCTTACGCTAAATCCTAAATCAGCTTCAATGCTAGCACCCTTACGCTAAATCCTCAATCAGCTTCAATGCTAGCACCCTTACGCTAAATCCTAAATCAGATTCAATGCTAGCATCTTTACACCAAGCGCAACAAAATGGGATGATAACTTCACACGTAAAACAATGTTTAAACTCACTATTCAAATAAATACCAGCCGATGAATATAAATGTATTAATGAGGACAGTTTTATTCTTTGAATAGAGAAACTAAGTATTTCTAATTTTTTTAGTTGATAATATAATTATGTGAGATATGGAGTTCATGGTGTTGTAATTAGTAAAACCAAAAAGATATTTAAATTCTAAAATTGAAGTCGAAGTAATTTAACTTCGTTAATTTTCTTTTCAAGTTTGTTTACATTTGATTGGCGACTAAAAATAAACTTAGTCATGTGACGGGCTCTAATGGCCTTTTTCCCCGGGACTTTAGGTCCCCGGCATGTGGACATTGGCGAGAAATGGCCTGTTTAGTATTGAAGCCACGAACTGTATTCTCCCTGCCCACACAGCCGGAGATGGGTTAGGGTGGGGCGGGGGGGGGGGGGTTGAAGAGAAGAATGCGACCCTCCAAAAGTGTGGGTGAAAGGGAGCGAGCTGTGGGTCCGGAGAAAACTCGGCGGGGTCGGGGAGCCATTCAAGGGCGTCATAATGTGTTTGACAGCGCGAAGGTCAAAATAAAGATTGATGCAAATTTAGTTGATGCCGGCTTTTTGTGGTGGGGCCGGGTCCGGCGTCTTCTAATGACTAGCAGAGCCACGCGGGGGTTTCTTTCTCCCAATCTTCGTCACGTGATCATGGGCTACGGCAGAAATGACCCATCCTCCCCCCCCCTCCATCTGATGGGATAGGGCTGGGAGGTGACCAACCCTCCCTCACCCCCCCCCCATAACACCATCTGCACAAGGGCCCAATGTAACGTCGTTAGTAGAAAAATACGGAAGTTAAAATTTTTTTAGGAGATGGGAGGGGTGTGTGCTGGGTTTGAAAGTTGAAAGGTTAAAAGGAAAAAAAAACATCCCTTGCGGAAATGCAGTGATGTGTAGTTTGGCGTTTTATTTTTTTATTTTTTTTATTTTGTAAAACTCGGAAACACAATTTTAGAATTAAAAGAAATTTTGTTATTGAAAGTACGTTGGGTTTTAAAACTTTGTATAGGTTTTTTTGTTAACAAAATTTATGGCCAAACACCATAAAATGATTTTAAATAAATACACACACACACACACACATATATATATATATATATATATATATATATATATATATATATATATATATATATATATATATATATATATATATATATATATATGGCCTAAATTATTAGTTTATGTGGATAATTAACTAATAGTTTTAAAGAGCATTTTCATCTAAAGCATTTGGTAAAAGTAAAAATCAAAAATAACATTTGATTGTATTTTGTCAACATTATCGTGTTCCAGAGACGCCAAAAATCAACATTAGATCATATTTGATCCAAACCATTGGACACACGTGAAAAATAGAAACAGTAACTTGCGTGTACTCACCAAACTATCTAACTCATGGTTAGCTGAAAACAGGGGCTTGTCCGATCGGGCCTGAAAGAAACACACACATCAATATTTGTTAACGAAATAATCAAATGGGTATTTATAAACACGATCAATAAAATGGGTGATTGAATGAAAAATGTGTTGAAGTGATTGAACATTTATTTAGTAACCGGAGTTTAATTATTTTAAAGTAAATCCTATCGAGAAAATAAAACGGGGACGCGGTTCTAATTTTAAAGGTAGGACTGTGTTTACGAAAATAGAACTGTGTTAAGTGGGATAAATTATAAAGCAGTTTGGATTTAAATTCAAGTGATGAGTTTGAATGAATTAAAAAGCTGGCTTGGATATATTTTTAAAAAATTAGGTTGGATATAATTTTGAAATGGACCTTGATATACTTAGAATTTGGTGGAGTTTTTAAAAATCGGAGAGGGTAAAATTTAGAAAATTTGACAAAGTTGAATTTTGGGTTGGAAAATAGAAAAAAAATGAGGTGTATTTTTGTTATAATGAGGTGTGTAGTTGGCGTGTAGACCTTTGTCGCCGACCAAAAAATACAAACTGTGAGACATATCAACAGGTCGGTGGGACATATATTAACAGGACTGTGGGGCATATATCAACAAGACGGTGGGGAAAATATCAACAGGACGGTGGGCAGATATCAACGGGCCGGGACGTTTCGATTGGGACAGAAAATAATTCCAGGCAGATAAGACACGGTGTGTGTGTGTGGCGGGGGGGGGGGGGGGTCCTCCAATATCGAAGCTTATGTCAATAATAGCATTGACCTTGGTTAAGACTGCTCGGCAATTTAACTTTGGAACACATTAGATTGTAGTTTGGAACACATTATTAGATTTAACTTGGGAACACAGATTTTAGCTTTAACGTATTTTTATTTTAGTCCACCAAACACAGATAGTCGGAGTGTTTCAACCACGAATGACATCGAGGTGTAGCTGTCGATGACATTTATATGCCACGTCGCAGTTGTCATGTGGCTAAACATTATAGTTCAACAATGTCACTCACAACTATAGCGGTGTTGTTGCGTTAGTCAATTAGAATCACTTGACAATGAAATATTAACATTAACGCTACAATATTGATAATGTACTTCTATGAAATTAGAATCAATTGACAATGAAATATTAACATTAACGCTACAATATTGATAATGTACTTCTATGAAATTAGAATCAATTGACAATACAATATTAGAAATAATACTACAACAATAATAAAACACTTGTCTGAAGTTAGAATTACTTGACAATAAAATATGAACGCTAGTTCTACACTATTTTTCATATACATCTATGAAGTAAAAAAAAAACAATTTAAAAAATCAGTTTTAATTATGATACAATACTTTTGTTTAAATTGGGGCCATTCTATACCAAAATATCAACTTAAATGCAATAATACTAAAAACATAGTTATATGAGAAAAAAGTTACTAGACAATAAAGTATCCACATAATGCTACGATATTTGAAAATTGAACAATTTAACGACAAAATATCTCTTAACTATTGCAACAGTCATGTTACTTTAGTCAAATTAAACTACTTTAAAAATAAATACTAACTTGATTATTCAATATTGATGTTATTTTTAGAATTACTTTCAGGCGAAACATCCAAGTCACTCCACCATTAAAAGATAATATCACTACAGTCAAATCAAAATTACATTACTACTAAAGCTTGCCAGACGGATTGAATTTCGTTAAAAAATTACGAACAATTAAATTTTCCGTCGCGGAAAATAATTGCGAAAATAAGCCCCGCAGCCCGGATTTCTTAACATGACATCATTTAGTCCGGCTCGTGTTGTCTGAGAAAACATGCCGGTTCTGCCGGCATAATAGCCGGTCTCGTTGAGCGCCCGGCCACGTCAGAGTGTGTTTTGCTAACCTGAAGTCGGAGGGTTTTCGCCGACCTCAGTCTAATTAAGTTGAGACCAAAGTGCTGTAATTAGTCCAGTAGGCCGAGGATCTGGACGCCTGGTCGGTCGGTCAGGTAGGTGTCAATCAAAGACGTCTATGGGATGGACGTGTGTATGACGTCATGGTGCAGGACGTGCTACGGACGTGAGAGGGGTCGGGCGGTGACCAACTAGACCAACCCGTAGTCTAGATGGTTGATGTGTAATGTGTGACGTGGATCCATGATAAATCAACACGTAGTCTAACTGCATATATATGATTTGTGATATGGTGCTATGCTAAAGCTATTGGGGGGGGGGGGGGGGTAAACAATGAATGAACCAACAGTCTAATAACTGGTGTGTTATGTGGTACTATGATAAACCAACCCGAAGTCTAACTGCAGATGTGTGATGTATTGTATTAGGGGTCTAAACAATGAATGAACGGGTAGTCTAACTACAGATGTGTGATGTATTATGTTAGGTTGGTCTAAAGTACTAAACAATGAATGAACCCGTAGTCTAACGACAGATGTATGATCTGGTATTATGTTTGGTTGATCTAACACAAATTGTGCAAACCGTCAAATATTTCTGTCAACTCTACCCTAACCTTGCAGCAACACTATCAAACCTAAACTTCTACCGTCTCTAAACTAGACTATTTTGACACTATCAAACCTAAACTTGTACTGTCGCTAAACTAGACTATTTTAACACTATCAAACCTAAACTTGTACCGTCGCTAAACCAGACTATTTTGAAAAGCGTTTCCATGGTAACGAGTATTGTTCTAAGACCTCGTGAGAGAATTCCAATTTTATCGTCTAAATTCTCAAAATAGCGGACACATCCCAACACCTGGGAAGAAAATCCAGTGTGTTCGTCCATTATCTGACGGACGTGTTTCACTCTGATTCTACACGTCGCTATGTGCTGTCCAGCTGCTGTTGTTTTACTGGTGGGGTGGGGGATTGTTCATTTAGTTTTCATTTAACTTTATTTAACACATATGTAAGATTCATCTATCCTGCGTACATATGTAGAGATTAGGGGTCACCTTGATGACAACATTTCTGTTTTTACCGGATTTTATTTCTCTCTTAATTGCTTCCTTTTTCTTTTACTAACGCTATTAATTATCCGTTTTACATTTTAAGTTTAAACTGGCTGCGCCCTGCGTCTTTTGGTAGTATAAATATCTTGTTTTGGTGAAAACTGTTGTTAGATAGCTGGATTTTAGAATCCAACTTAAACGAATGTGACAATTCTGTATAACATATGATAAATAAAATAAGTAATTTGAATAATACTTTTTTTTTAATCTGATATTTCACTAGTACATAAGGTTAGTTTTAACACTACAAATGATTTTTGTTTTATCATCAACGGTTCTCAAGACTACAGCCCCACCCCCACCCCATTTAGGCCACACAGACAAAGTATCGGTGCCGGTGGAGGGGATAAATAATTGATACAGAGAGAAATGAAAGCTGCCGCAGACTGGGGGAGGGGCGGGTGGGGGTGGGGGGACAAATCAGAATTGTAGAGGACTCAACATGGGGAGGTCTAATTGAAAATCGGAAAGGCTGGAGGAGAAGGAGAGGGCTTGATACGGACCGAGAGACGGGAGAGGGAATTAAGAGAGGGGAGGGATGTGGGAATACGAGAGTAAGAGAGAGTAGAGCTCTTTTTGTTGTGGAGTACAGGGCTGGGAGAGGAAGGGAGAAACAGAGAGAGGGGAGAATGAAATAAAGGGCTAACGGGCTTGAATGGATGGTTAGAGGTTGTGCTTGTGAGAAAAGGCTTTGAGAAAATCTAAGGGCGACCTGATTTGTTTATTTGCTGGGCCTGATTAGGAATTTGGTTTCAGGGTGAAATGTATTTATTTTTATTGGTTTTATCAAAAATTTAATTTCTTGTTTAATAGTAGAAATTAGTCTGTTTCCATTATTTTGTCAACTATATAATTTAGTATTTAAAATTGCCCACATACTTGGATGTAAACACAAGGATTGGGTTTTGAATGGTAAAGTTTACTTCACAGATGTGTATAGAGAGATATTTAATTTTAAACCACAAACTCTCAGTCCATTTGACCGAGATTTTACATAACTAACTCTACATGTAAAGGTTATTTGATGGTTTATGTGAATCTTTTTTTTTCATAAGATAGTTCAATTATGTGCCGAATCTAATTTGAGGGGTAAACTGGCATTCAAATTGTGGCGCTTGCTATGGTGAAGACAACTTCTTGTTTGAGGTTAATAAATGGTGAACAAGTAGGGTGGAAGTGTGAAGAAAAATGGATGTAAATATGACGTCAGTACTATGACGTAAAGTATGACGTAAAGATGATGAAAAGATGACGTACTAAAACTTGTTTGCTGAACACAGCGATGTCCTCGTTGAAGGAGTCGGAGGAGCAGACGTCTCCACCCGTGACGCCCGGCTCCCGGGGGGTGCATGTGGCCAGCTCACACTTCTCAAATATAAGGGCTAGTAGTGGGAACAGGGGGTGGCTGTGGACACAGAAACACAGGTCAGTTCATCATTTTATACATATATATATATATATATATATATATATATATATATATATATATATATATATATATATATATATATATATATATATATATATATATATATATATCAATCACATTTTACAAACCATATCATAAACTTGCTGAAGATTCTCATGTAAGAATAAGGCTACAGTGTCAATTATTAGAATAGCTATTATTATGATATAATGTATGTCGGTAAGGTCGTGGGTCTGTTATTTCCTATGGCTTTCTAATGAAAATATTATATAATTAAACAGTCGATGTGATTGATGTATACATTATGCATTAAACTGATGAACCAGCTATTCATTAGACACCAGGTCAAAAGACAACGAGTTGATCCAAAGTTTGTGAACATGTCTTTAATGTGAGCAGTACGAGCGTTCTATCACACGGTGAGCAAGACTAAACGAGAGGCAGGGACACCAACAATCAATGATGAATTGACGTTTGAAACTAATAGTCAGTCATCATGAATAAACACAAGCGCTTCATCAACACTGTTGCACGACAAATAGAAAATCAATGTAAATAAAACCAGTACACATTCAATTTCGGACAAACACAATATATATATATATATATATATATATATATATATATATATATATATATATATATATATATATATATATATATATATATATATATATATATATATATATATATATAAAACCAATACTAAAACATCCAATAGCAAGCTCGGTAACCCACGTCACGATAACGGCACGTTACAGAACGGGTCAAACGACTAGTAAAAAAACAACAACACAGAACCCACGTATAGCGGGGGGAAAAAAAAAGGTCAGTGCGATACATAATTTAGTAATTCATCTTTCCTTCTCCGTAACGGCGCCATGCCTTCTTTCGCCTGGGAGTTGATTGGTGCCAAAACTCTCGGCGCCATCGGCTTATCGCCCGGCTGGCGAACGGCTGTTCGATCAGTATGTAAGGATGGCAAAGCTGATGGGTAGATAATGTGGGGCTCGTGTCCTCGCTCTTATAATTAGTAGTCTATGAATCTAGATGTGACAGCCGGCGCGGACGAAGACAAGTTGTCGATACATTATGTATTAAGCCACGGGTGTCGCAGGGTTAAACGAATGACTAGACGAATGGACAGAGAGGTTGTAGCACGCGTCAGTGAGCACGCGCTTTGTTATTGTTTAGTGCGCCACTAGGCATGCGCATGAGCGTCGGCCGACCCACACTTAGTCTTTTGTGTGGGGGGTAGATCGTGGAAGTAATCACGTGATTAGTAACAGATTTTTTTAAACCTGGGAATCGAATCGCGTTGAAAATTAAGCGGCAAAAGAAATTAGCGATTATACGAGTAAATCACCCTCAGATGTACCCTAAATGGTGTTCAGTTTTTTAAAAATAGAAATTATTAAAAATCGTAACAAAATTTGTCTTTTAAATAGTAATTAACAGTAGAAACAGTTTATTTACAGTAGGAACAAGATGTTTTTTTTCTGATTTTCCTATGTGTGTTTTATGTCTCTTCTTTCTTTTCTGTGTTTACAGTCATGCTTGTATGTGTGATTTTTCGTGTATGTAATGAGCTGTGTTGTGTTACCGTATTGTTATGTGATACATAACGTGTAATATGTTCAGTCTGTGCATGTGTGTAAGCGTTCGTATGTGATATTTGTCTTAAGCCATTTGTGTATGCCTTTGAGCGTGTTATGTATGTGCAAGTGATATAAATGTGCTAAATCTAACTACATAATACATGCTCTTTCTGCTAAACCTAACTACATATATCTAACTGCTATCTAACTGCTATCTAACTATATATCCAACTACATGTATTGCTACATTTACACGGAATCAAGGTCTGAGTAGTGTTTCATCATTGTGTTTTACTTCTGGTCTGATAATAAAAATCATTTTTTATTTGTTTTTATTACGGCACATTCCAAACACCATTACGACTTGGCTACCACCCAACTATCAACATGGTGTGGCTACCATCCAACCATCAACATGGTGTGGCTACCATTCAACCATGAACATTATGTGGCTACCACCCAACCATCAACATGGTAGCTACCATCCAAACACCAACATGGTAGCTACCATCCAAACACCAACATGGTAGCTACCACCCAACCATCAACATGGTGTGGCTACCACCCAACCATCAACATGGTGTGGCTACCATCCAACCATCAACATGGTGTGGCTACCATCCAAACACCATCACGACGTGGCTACCACCCAACCATCAACACCTGGCTACCGACCAACCATCTAAAAAAATGCCCGCTAAATTCAACAAATCCTCCACCGTATTTTAATTAACAATCCACTTTAATTTAGTAATATACACCGCCAACACGCCAAACGTTTTTATAATCCTTATCGCACCCCCCTCCCCCACCCACAGACCTAACCGTGCAACCATTTTCTCCTACTGTCGCGAAGGTCCCCGCTAGCGACACTTTTAAAAAATCATTACTGCTTAGCATTTTTGTTACTTATAAAACGGAGCTTATATTTAGGAAGCGGGGCGCAAGGAAATTGAAAGGCCGTCAGATGCGCGCATTGAACAGTCGCTGTATAGATCCACACACCGTTCCCGGCTCCAATCGATGGCAGTGTGTCCCAAATTATAAGTGATTGGGCGACGGGGCGCTTAAAGGATTAGCTGTTACATGTTGTGTGGTCTGCTAGCGGTCGAGTTCAGCTTTATCAAGGGGTGGAGGAGGTGTAGGTAGAATCTCTTAAAGAAAGTTGACCTTTTTTTTTTTTTTTTGCTAGTTAGAATGGAGGTTTAGCTCCTTTGGAAAGGTGATTTGCCGGTTGAAATTGATAATCGTGATTGGGTAAATAGCTGTGTAAAGCGTGGACCCTGCAAGTTTAACTGCAGGCGACCTGTGAGTTTAGCTGATGTATAACTCAGTATGTCTATGGTGTAATAAATACAATACCAAATAATTGGTCAAATAGTTGGTCATGTAAATAGTCAAAAAATGGCTAAATAATTAGGTAAATAAGTCAAATAGCAGTTTGTAAACATTGGTTAAAATACTGGTCGAAAACTTAAAAACTGTCAAATAGCTAATAAAATAACTGGTAATATAACTAATAAAGTAAGTGGTGAAACCATTGGTCAAATAGTTGGTCAAATAGTTGGTCGAATAGTTGGTCAATTAACTGCCATGAGTACGGTGCCCTATTTGTTCATCTTTCCATTCTTGTGTTGTATATGACAACATTAGAATAACTCACTAAACTTAAGATACAACTTCGATTTTTGTGTTGTATATGACAACATTAGAATAACTCACTAAACGTAAGATACAACTTCGATTCTTGTGTTGTATATGACAACATTAGAATAACTCACTAAATTTAAGATACAACTTCGATTATTGTGTTGTATATGACAACATTAGAATAACTCACTAAATTTAAGATACAACTTCCTCCATATTGTCTCTGCCATCATTGGCTTATTGTGATAGGTTGGTTTAAATAATAAACACTACATTAATCCATGTCATACACCGACTGCTAAATATTTAAAAAATTACTTAAAGATGTAAAAAAAAAATTATAAACAAAAACAAAAGTGCTACTCTGTAGATTAAAAGCGGATGTGGGTTTTTTTTAAATAATTAAAAAATTTTTTTCTGTATTGCCAGTTTTTTTTTTGTGCGTGAGTTAACCAGCTCTATCTTATGCAGATTTTCTACTTGTATGCTTTCTACTTCAGACTTGTAAATAGTCTACTTGTATGCTTTCTACTTTAGATTTTAAACAGTCTACTTGTATGCTTTCTACTGTAGATTTTAAACAGTCTACTTGTATGCTTTCTACTGTAGATTTTAAACAGTCTACTTGTATGCTTTCTACTGTAGATTTTAAACAGTCTACTTGTATGCTTTCTACTTTAGAACTTTAGACTTTAAGACAACCTGCCGAAAATTCCAGAGACTGCCGTCCTATTGTGTTGTACTGACAGGTAATAGCGGAGGTATGTGGGTCAGTCATTGGGTCTCTCTAGGCGGGTCAGCTGACCCAATGTGGGTCGACCATTTGGGTCTCTCTAGGCGGGTCAGCTGACCCAATGTGGGTCGACCATTTGGGTCTATCTAGGCGGGTTAGCTGTCCCCAATGTGGGTCGACCATTTGGGTCTCGCTAGGCGGGTTAGCTGTCCCCAATGTGGGTCGACCATTTGGGTCTCTCTAGGCGGGTCAGCTGACCCAATGTGGGTCGATCATTTGGGTCTCTCTAGGCGGGTCAGCTGACCCAATGTGGGTCAGTCATTGGGGTCTCTAGGCGGGTCAGCTGTCCCCAATGTGGATGTTGTTTATGTGTATGTGGCTAGGTTATGTTAGTACACGTAGCCCACTGCAGCTACATGAGGTATAGGAAGGCCCCTAAAGACTGATGTGTATTCTAATTTTTTAAATGATATTTTAAATTAAATATTTGTGGTTTTGTGTTAAAATTAATTTAAGAAAAATGTTTTCAATTAGCTTGATTTTTGACAGAAACCTTTAACAAATATATTTCATTTCATCTTTTAGCTGAGGCTTGGAGTATGTTTTAATCCATCCTTATTTCAGATCTAGCTTTTAAGACTGCCATTAATCTTTAAAGCAGCGAAGTTTACGGTTTCTGTATTTTATATACATATTTTTAAATTTATTTTTTAAAATAATTTAACCGTCGCTTACATACAGCATAGAAACGACATTGTCTGCTTCGGGTACCAGACAGTTATTACAGACTTTATTTCAACATTTAATTTCCTGACTTAGAACTTTTGTGTAACAGAGGAATAATAAAGAATTTATAACAGAAGAAACTGATATGGCAAACAGAGTAAAGGCGAAGCATTTTTTTTTTGGTAAGGGTGGGGAAGGGAAGTGTCATTATGCAGGTACAGGCAGATAATTAGTAAGGTCATTAAAACTATATTTCAAATGGCCTAATGTTTAATTACTCGTAATTAATTCATAGGTTCGTTTTCAAATGTGGTGAGTTAGCTTATAATATTCGTCGCAATTTTGTTTATTTCTTTAGTGGTCTGGCGCTTTCCTTGGCCTATATTACGGCCCGTCTATATTAGTCTATTCTCAGTGCGGCCGCCTAGATCTACATCAGTCTATTCTCAGTGCGGCCCGCCTAGATATATATCAGTCTATTACCAGTGCGGCCCGTCTAGATATATATCAGTCTATTACCAGTGCGGCCCGTCTAGATATATATCAGTCTAGTTTTTGCGGACCGCCTAATTCTGTACCAGCCCGCCTTTATTAATATTGCCAATGCGGCCCGTCTATATCAGTCTATTCTCAGTGCGGCCCGTCTATATCAGTCTATTCTCAGTGCGGCCCGTCTATATCAGTCTATTCTCAGTGCGGCCCATCTATGTCACTTTATTGTTAGGCCAATTGTTCTATGGTGTTGCCTCGGTCGATCATTGTTCTGTAGTGTTGCCTGCCTATATCAGTCTATTGTTCTTGTTTTATAGTGCTGGCCAAGTATATTTTTCTTGTTGTATAGTGCTACCCTTCTATTGTCTTTTATCTACAGTACGACCCACGTCAGTCTATCATTATAGTTCGTCAGTGCAAGCCTATCATTATAGTTTGTCACTGCTAGTCTATTGTTGAAAATAGTTTTCTTGGATCAGAACAAAATGAAAAAAAAAATGTCTACATACCTTATGGAGTACGGTTAACGAGATAAAATAACGGCTAATTACGGTTAATTACGGTTAATTACGGCTAAGAATGGCTAAAACTCACGAGTAGATGGAATCCTTATCGCGCTTCATCTGAGAGTCTTGAGAGCCGGACATGACCCCGGGCATGGTGCTGGGGGTGCTGGAGTAGGGGCTGGGGTAGGGCTGGTGCAGGGCCGAGCTGGCGTGGTTCAGGCCCGAGTGGGACAGGGGGTGCGACACTGCCATGGCCCGGTGCGGGTCCCCGTACATCCCGCCGCTAGCCTCCATGGCCCCGTACCCCGGGAGTTCTCCGTCGTACTGCAAGGATGACGACATGCTGGACACCACAGGCATCAGCCGGCTACAGCCACGGACACCGGTCAAGCTTTCGGACCTAGCTTCAACCAGCGAAGATCGATGATCAAGATTTTAAGAATATTTTTTTTTACTTCACACTGAAGAAACTCGTCTTGAAGAATTCAAGAAATAATCAAATCCACACATACACACACTTGACGAAATTATTTTTTAAAAATAATTAACACACAATTAAAATAACAACAGCACTTAGATGTAATAAAACATCTTTGAAAGATAATTTTTTTTTAACTGGCAGGAAAATAGCGATGAATTGGTGTAAAAAAACTGAATTCCGATTCTAGGATCCCATGTTAAAAGATTTCACAGGCCAATGGAAATCAGCTAAAAATCATCCTCTGCCGGTGTGTCGGAACCACACGATGAAGTGTAAGAAATATGACGTCTTTGATGAAGTAGAATAATCCACTGGGGGTCAAGGTTGTGACCTTGTGATGTCAGGATCTCGGAGTAATCAGTCTGAGGATTAAAAAACACACAATTGTTAAATCTTTGTCAGGATTTAAAATAACAAAATGTTTACTACATCAGGATTTAAAATACCAAATTGTTTACTTTATTAGGATTTACTTATTCATTCATTAGTTTAATATAATACAATATTTTAAAAATTTATTAAAAATAACACATGTGTTTGTATTTACAAAATTCGAATACCAAACATGTTTTTAAAATTTCTTTGAAAGTTTTTTTCTTAGATTTAAAATAACAAACATGAATGTTTTTAAAAGGATTTTTGTAAAGAAAAAAATCTGGAAAAATGCAATTAAAAATGACAATAAAAAATAATTGGATCTGTGATAAGCGATTGATTAAAATATGTTAATTAGCTGGTGAAGTTGTTTGAAACTTTTTAATCATTTAGTTCGGTAGAAAAACAGATGGGGAATTGAAATGTTTTTAAAAACTGTAACACTATTTACACACACGGACAGGAGTATCACAAAAAGTATCACACAAATATCAGACAGTATAAGAGTATCACAAAAAGTATCACACAAATATCAGACAATATAGGAATATCACAAAAATTATCACACAAATATCATACAATTTAGGCGTATAACAAAAAGTATCACACAAATATCAGACAATATAGGAGTATCACAAAAAGTATCACACAAATATCAGACAATATAGGAGTATCACAAAAAGTATTACATAAATATCAGACAATGTAGGAGTATCACAAAAAGTATCACAGGAATATCAAACAAATTAAAATAGAAGTATCATAGACCACCAAACTATGAAACAATGGACCCATCATACCATCAAAACTTCATAAACCAGTGCTTTATACCACCACCACAAAGGGCAAAACTCTTGAAATATATTACAGAAATTTAAAAAAAAACAACTTGACACAAAGTTTACCAGTGGTTAGAAAACAGTTGCAAATTTAAAAACATTTTGTTTTTCTAAATGCAGAATGTCTCTACCATTTTATGTAGCTGTATTAGGAACAACAACAGAGGAATGGCGTTGACAATTTGAAAGCTATGTCATTGATGGTAAACACTAAATGGTGTATGATGGTATGGATGGTAGTCTCTAAATGGTGTGTGATGGTATGGATGGTAGTCTCTAAATGGTGTGTGATGGTAGCGGTGGCTAGTGTTACACTGCCGAACATGTGTGAGACTATAAAATACCACTGTAGTCTACCCTAGGTTTTAGACATTTTTTTAGGTCAAATCCCTGGCTTAACTATTGTTTATGGTTTATTGCAGAGGGGGAGGGGAGGGTTGGGGAGGAGCTATCTGTTTACACATGTGTGCTACACACTAGCGGTTGACACACTAAGTTTGACACACGCGAGTTAAAATACATTTTGTGTCCGAGTTTGTTTAAAAAAATTATTCAATCAATTAAATTTGACACTAGAATTAACACTTACTTTAAAGTGTTTAATTTATATAGAGCAATGCAATGTGTAGGCCTACATAATAATTATGTTGGTAATTTTTTTTTTAAATAATTCACGGGTTTTACATTTTCCTATCACTATAACAGTTGTCACAAAATTGTTTATAACATGGGGGTTTTGCATTCATTTTCCTATCACAATAACAGTTGTGACAGTATTGTTTATAAATCATGTGTTTTACATTTAACTACTACAACAATTGTGACATGAAATTCTAATGTAAGAAGCAGGTGTAAGATGAATGTGTAATGTGTGTAATTTAGATACTACCGGAATGTATATTAGGTCAATATAGCAGGCCAATTAAAATGGATGGTGTGTGTCTTCTAGTAGATGGATTATCAAAACAAACATTGCTTTAGAGGGAGTTGTATAAACAAGTTCGGATGTTGTGTGGGACAGTTAATGCTATACAGTAGATAGTTTATCAAAACAAAAATGTTGCAGTAGACAATAATGTTTCCCTCTTGTTGGTTTTAATAAACATAACTTGTATGTATATGTTATAGGATTATAGTTGTATATTTTAAATGCTGTATGTTGTACTCACTGTTGAATAACACAAATCTATCAAGTGTATCAAACTTTCTATCACAAATCTATCACATATATCTAACTTTTGATCACTAAATGAAGTAGAAAGTTAGTTTGACATAAAATGTGTATTTAGTTAGATGCTGATTACACGGTCGCTGCTCGTATGTTTGTTTGTTGTGTTTGTAGCTTGTGATTTGTGTGTGAACCATAAGGTCTTGTAAATATAGATTTGTAATAAAGAAAAAAGTTACAAGCGTCTAGAAAGGGTATAGATTGCATGCTTGTTAGGTAGTTTATGATTGTGTGATTGTTTGTTTTCGGTTGGAATAAAGTTTTGTGATTGTAGTTGTGTTTAGATCGTGTTCACGCAGTTTTTTTCTTTTGTTTTAATATTGTTGTTGTGTTTGTTGTTGTTGTATTATGATCGTGATAATGAAGTTATATTTATTAGTGTTGTTGTGTTTGTGTTGTGGTAGATGTGTTGAGTGTGTACTGTGTATGATCGTAGTTGTAATATGCTTGTTATCTTGTAACATGTTGTTGTTGCTGTGTGTCCTCTACACCGATGGCGTGGTACCCGGGTGTGCCAGCCTGACACCTGAGAACGGCAGGTGTGGTGCCGGCACTGTCAGACGAGTCACCGGGATCTGGGCAGCTAGAGTTACACCGGTGGAGGGGGTGGGGCGGCTGGTGTATATCGGCGGTGGTGTGTCGATTATTGTACGACGGATGTTGTATGTCGGCTTTTATATGTCGGCTGTGTGTCGGATGTTGTATGTCGGCTTTTATATGTCGGCTGTTGTATGTCGGCTGTAGTATATCGGCTGTATGTCGGCTGTCGTGTGTCGTGTGTCGGCTGTTGTATACCGGCTTTTATATGTCGGCTGCTGTATATCGGATGTTGTATGTCGGCTGTGTCGGCTGTATATCGGTCGGATGTTGTATGTCGGCTGTTGTATGCCGGCTTTTATATGTCGGCTGTATATCGGATGTTATGTGTCAGCTGTATATCGGATGTATGTCGGCTGCTGTATGTCGGATGTTGTGTGTCGGCTAATGTGAGTCGGATGTTGAGTGCTGGCTATTGTGGATGTGTCGGTTGTTATAAATACAACGGTAACCTAATTAGTACTTGTATTGCAGAAAGTTTTCAATAAATTAATTATTGAATGGAAAAGCCGAAGTTCAATGTCGAAATTTAGAACGAGTAATTCTTGTTGCTATTCAAATAATTTGCAGATCAACAAAAGTATCATCGGTCTAATATAGACGAAAGTCTAAAGCCTATAGATCTATAAGTAGTTTTACGGCGTGTGCGATTTGTGATTGTAAACAAAGATGATCAATTAACCTCGACAAAAACGCTGACTGATTGATTGGATGATTAATGATAATTGATATTTAATCGATATATTTTTAAATAAAATTTATAAGACATTGGTTTTGATTTACGATTTTTAATAAAAATAAAATGTATTGATTAAGTTATCTATGCTTTGGAAAATCTACTTTTTTTTCTCTTGTACATAAACCAAATATGTAGCTGTTTTTAAATAAACCGTGTTATTATTTGTCAAATCTAATCCTACAAAAATTTTAATAAACTGTGTAATTAGTAGTTCAGTTAATTAAATCATAATAATATTTTATTGTGTTTCAGATTTTAAAATTCTGCAAGATTCCCTAGCTTTAAAAACATATTCTAGATCTAGATCTAGTCGGTCTAACCAGTTCGGCAGAAAAGTGCATATCTTGTTTGTTTACTTGGCAATAGACCGTCTCCTCTAGATATAGACGTCTAGGGCTTTTTTCTTGTCAAATGATGATTAGATTTAAATTATGGTAGAACTTCGTTTGTTTTTTTTTTGGAATACCGGAGGGGTGGAAGAAATGATAGACAGCTGGGTGATACAGTTGTGTGTGGGTCGGGTGTGAGGGTCGGGTGAGTGTGTGGGTTGGGTGAGTGTGTGAGTCGGGTGTGAGGGTCGGATGAGTGTGTGGGTTGGGTGTGAGGGTCGGGTGTGAGGGTCGGGTGAGTGTGTGGGTCGGGTGAGTGTGTGAGTCGGGTGTGTAGTTAACTGACAGCCTGGTGTACGGTAGACCTAAGGTTAAACAGCCCTACACATAGCTAGTGAGTTTAAATTACTTATAATTTTGTGTGTGATTACAATGATAAAGTGGTTCCTAGCCGGCGGGTCTGAGTTCTAGAGTCGCGAGTCTAGCGTCATAACATTGGAGTCACAGCTCTAGCGTCAGTACACTGGAGTCATATTTCTAGCGTCACAAACCTGCGTATAGACTTACAACACAAGTAAACACGGGCGGAACTACACAGCGAAGAAATGACACATCACCTACACACATCGCCAACACACATCGCTTTAGCTAAACTTAGACCTAGCTAAACATCGCCGTCAACTACACACATAGCTCCAGCTAAACTTATCACATCTCTCTAGTTAAACTAAGCTAAACACATCACTGGTTAAACTTAGCCGACAACTTAACCACAAGTTAACCTTTCAAGTTCTCGGCTCTACAAAACTAACGATCGCCGGACGGGCGAGAAAACACGAGCTAAGTTTACTCCATGGTGAGCAGCCGATAATCCACTGCGCAGAATCCACCACATAAAAAATCCACCAAGCACAGCGGCAGCGCATGTAGTGAGACTGACCTACCGTAAGAAACGGGACATAGTTAAGGTTGTTGTTGTTCTGTGTGCACAGCACAGTCCCGAATTCTTGGAGGGAATTTCTGGGTTTAGACTGATCCGTTCGCCTTTCGACCGTCCGTCGCTCCAGTATATGGTCCGTTCATTGGTCGTACGACCGGCAGTCTGTTAGTCCAACGGTCGTTGCGCAACAGTGGTCAGCTGCAGTTAGGTCGTACCTGACGGTAGATAGGTCGCGTACAAACAAATCCTCGAGCTGTCAGAGAGGAGACCGAATCTGTCAGGCAGTGCTAGCCCTCCACCCCGCGCGGCCAGCCG